TGATGTGCGTCCGTTTTTCAATTGTAGATTTGAGCTGAGCCTGCATGAAGGATGTATCCTACGTGGATCTCGCATCGTTATCCTATTGACTCTCAGGTCAGCTGTACTGAAAGAATTACATGATGCACATCCAGGTATTGTCCGCATGAAAGCCCTCGCCAGATCCTACTGCTGGTGGCCAGCGATTGACCGAGACATCGAAGCACTTGTGAGTACTTGTAACACATGCCAAAAGTATCAAAGAGATAATCCAACAGGCCCAATTCACCCTTGGCAGTTGCCCGACAGCCCATGGGAACGTGTCCACGCCGATTACTTTGGCCCGATCGAAGGAAAAATGTTGCTACTTTTATTAGATACGTACTCCAAATGGATTGATGTGCATGTTGTTGCAAACGCTACTGCATAAGCGACAATCAATGGCGTACGCTCTAGTTTATCTACACATGGCATACCGAAAACATTATTCACTGACAACGGTCCGCAATTTACGAGTGCAGCGTTCAAAGAATACCTGCAGAGCAACGGCGTTCATCACATGACTTCCGCACCGTACCATCCAGCGTCAAACGGTTTAGCTGAAAGAGCGGTCCAAACCGTGAAAGCTGATCTTCTAAAGCAGCGTAATGGCTCGTTACGAACCAAACTTGACCGATTCTTGTTCGCATATCGGATCACACCGCTAGAGTCTATCGGAAAGAGCCCTGGGAAGGCAATGTTTAGGCGTCGACTACGTACGAGACTAGACCTACTTTTTCCAGACCCTCGTCAGACCAGGCGTTGCCAGCAACAACGTATGCATGAAAGTGGACGCGCACCAGTTAAGCCCCAGAAGTCGATAGTGGAACGTGATGTTTACACGAAACTACCATATGAGCAGTTATGGCAGCCTGGCACCGTGCTTACGAGCTCAGAAACGGAGGCCGAAATACAACTAGAGAGTGGAGAGACAGTACGCAGGCACAATGATTTCATCCGGCCCCGCACCGCAGTCACACCGTACCCTGGGGAAGAGAAAGTGGTTCCAGAAGGTCTGGAGGAGACAAACAAAAACCAAACGGAAGCAATCGATCAGCCGATTGCTATTCGGAAACCGCACCGCTCACCTAAGCCGATAGAACGTTACATTTCACAACTGTGATTCCATCTGTCACGTGAGGGGATGTTACGTATGTGTCGTCCGCTAAACCGCTGAGCCGATGAGCAAACACAGGCACATACAGATCGATTGACCGATAGCTGATTCGTCCACTCTTTTTCCTTGTGCTGATTGGTTCCTTTTTGACTTATTCATCTGGTGTAACCTACAAGCTATCTATTACAGTTTTTGACACGTCTTATCCGATGTGTGTTCTTATTTACTTCTTGCGCGGACTAAGGGTCCAGGTGCGATCCAGCAATACTCGAGTAATACGTATCATGTAGCTTGTGAGGTGCTGAGACGAAAACCTTAAAATAACATTACATAATTGCTTGTGACGAGGCACATGTCGTTGCAGGTAATATAAGCAATGGAAAGTGTCTATGTGATTTTCATCGATTTCAGTAAAGCGTTCGACAAGATCAGCCATGATGTCTTCCTTCACCAACAGGATGTGCGGTGTCAGTGGCTCACTGCACCAGTGTATCCGCGACTTTCTTGTTTGACAGAGGTGTATGGTACAGGTCGATGACTATTTAATTGACTGGTTTCCCCCTGCATGTGGCGTACCTCAAGGCACTGTTCCTGATCCTCATCAACAATCTACCTCAGCTTCTCCGGTCGCCATGTGCCTTTTTTGCGGACAGCATGAAGATTTGGAGTGAAATTGACGCTCCGACGACTGTGGTGTACTTCATCAAGACCTCAACTGCTTATCCACATTGTCTACAGAAGTTCATCTCCCAGTCAACCCAGACAAGTGTGTATTTATGAGCCTGGGGAAGGGTGCTGACGGTCGAACCTACACCCTTGATGGCTAACTTATATTTCACGCCCTCCGTGAAGGACCTACATATACTCTCGTGCTGTGATTTGAGGTCCGTGAACAACACTAACAAGCTATATCGTAACGGACTGCGCATGCTTTGGGTGCTCAGACGTAGTTTCCATACATGGTCTGAAGAGGCTGCCAATCGCCTCTTCTTTTACATCATTAGACTAATGCTAGAGTACGATTCGACTGCCTCATTTCCGACTACCCGTGGCGAGGCGCGGAAGATTGAACGGGTCCAACACGTTTTTACTAGGCTCTTCCCGGGTTTACGTGGCTTGCGGTATGTAGACGGTGCGAGTGACTTGGACTCTACACCTTGTCTTACCGTCGGGTGCGAGTCGACTTCAGTATGTCCTACCGTACTCTACATCTCGGTGACGTCCGCATGCTGAGGCCCATGGTGCACTTAAGAGGGGCATGCAACACGCGCGGACACAGATACTAACTTGTCGTGCAGGATGTGAAACGAGTTCCCCACCCACTGTGCTCCGAACTGAGAGTGATAAATATTAAGAATAGTTTACCTGAACATGTGATGGAGGCCACATCTGTGCAGTAGTTCAAAACGTTGTTGGTTTTATAGGTTAACACTATTCGATACAGAGAACGACTGCACACTTTCGATGACATCTCATATTTGTGAGCCCTGCAATACTGTGAGTCAGCTTTTAAATCTTACCTGAAAACGATACCAATATTCACGGGTGACAATTTTTAAAAGGTTTCTACACAATGTTACGAAGGAGTTGTACAGAATTCACTTCTACTTGCTCCACAATGCGGTATACAAATAGAGAATTGAATTTGTTCATTCAGTGAATAAATGACCTGACCTCATTGGGAACTGTAGTTTCGATGGATGAAAATTAAACAGACTTTCATAGCAGCCTACTCCCATTGCGCTGAGAGATGGATGCCAGCTACTAACATAGAGGCCCCAAAGATTGAGAGACTTGGTCAAACTGATGCATGCTGTCTGCATGGATTGGGGCCCCGGGATGGTTCACACCAGCGGTTGGGAACTCTAGCAGACATGGCGCAATCGCGGGTTTGTGGTGTTCCTGCATCAGGTTCTTGCACCTAGCTGTTGATCTTCATTTCATTCTTATTTGCTTTGTATATGTTTGCTCTGGTTCAATTTTCCTTGTATTCTATTTTCGTTCAACCTCACCCTCTTGCCGTTGTTATTTGTTGTTATTCTGGTATCATGATTCGTGGCAACTGGGTCAACCGCACTTTGATGCCCGGATCATGATTTTTAACTGAACTAACCGAACTACCTGCCTCTAGTGATGCCTATCCTTTTAGACACGCGCCAGGAAAGCTTCTATATCCAAAAATCGCTATTCAACGACTACTGCGACTGCTTAAATGTAAACCATCGCGACGAGACTGGACCTTAACATAGTGCCATGTTTTGCATGCCTCCGCGATCCATTGAGCTACACTGGGTGGTGCTATCTTGCACCTTCGAGCCGATCATACCAGATTGGTCAATGGTTAGAAGCCTGAGAAACTCAGTCTCCTGGCACTACAGGTTAAAGGTTGGAGTGAGGGTGACACCTTATTCCATAACACGGGCTATCTGTAGTCCTGTTCAAAAACCCCGCTAACTTGCGGTATGGTTTTTGAACCAAAAGCTTTGGTTGAGAACCCTAATTGTTCTCCTGTCTAGGCCTGGGCAAGCTGACAGTATTCTGCCCATGCAATACAATGAACCTTTCTTCTGTACGCACGTACGGGCTTTATTACCGAAACGAGAGTGGTAAAAGCAGCAATCTGTGGCATCTGGTTTTGTGCAACTGGGCGATGATCCAGAGCGGTTGCGGTGCTTACGATTTAAAGTGATTTCCTCGATCTGGCGCTGAAGCGACGCTACCTGTGATGGTAATGCGTCTATTGCCGACGGCTGGCAAGTCGCGCTTGTCGGTGTGATTGCGCCAACACAAAGTTGCTTAGTTGCTTTGGTTTCACTCTCTGATTTGTGCCGTTCGATGACGCGGTCTGCCAGATCTGCAGTTGCTGTGATCGGCAAATCACTTGCTACCGCAAGCATAGCCTGAGTGCTTTCAGGAACACGTAGCATCCACAGCTGGCGGAGAATCCCTACGTCCATGTTGAACGTGCCGATGAGCATTTCGCGCAACATGGCTGAGGGCATCCTATCTCCTAGTTGCAGATCACTAAATAGTTGCTGCAGGTGGACCTTGACAGAAGGCGTGATTCGCTGAATAATAGCCTGTTTAAGAGTCTCGCATTTCATCACTAGAGGGGGTAAAGTATGATGTTTCTCACCTGCAAGGATGTACTCTGATTAAGGCAAGGTATTAGCTGCTTATACATGGCGAAATCAGTAGCAATCCTATGAATATAACTTACGGACTCTAGGTGCAAAAACCATATAAAGGATCATTCTCCCAAAAGAGGTATGGGCTAACGCAATAGAATTGACCATGGCATGCTTAACGGCGTTAACCGCGCATGGAGACGGCTTATCCTCTGAGTAATTCATTGCAAATAGCAGGTAAAAAATGTGGTAAGTGAGAAAACAATATGAGCACACGTAACGAAGCACAAAATCACTGGAACGGGTTCACAAGAATGCAAATGCAAAATGGTTGGCGGCGTGTTCCTGACAGGGGGTCACCAATAATTGGGCGGAGCCTGGGATACTAGTCGGTAAACAATGACACGTAAGAGACGTGTCAAATGCGAGACGGTATAGAACTCGGAGACTATTGAACCCAACGTATATTGTGCAGGTTACAAAAATAGGAAGCGAATCAGCCAGAGCGAGAGACGTACAGCAAGCGACTCACCAAAAATGGTTTGTGTCACGGATATGCAGTCATTAAAACAAATGGACGTTTCGAGGTTAAAACGACTGTACATCCAATGTTGCAACTTACTGAAAGAGTATGGTTTCCGGTACACTGCAGGTGACCATCCGCATATGCGTCGCAATACATGATGTACCGCAGCAACCTTTGCGGAAGAATATCGCGTTAATTATCCTACGGTTACCGGGTTAACAACAGCTCGCATCTGCTGGTTTGTATACATTTGTTAATATATTTCAGCCGATGGTAGGGGGAACGAATAGGTTTATAAAGAACCGTTGTGAGTTCGTGTGGAATGAAGTTGAAACGAGTGTCTAAATTGACGTTAGAGCGATCTTCATTATTGGCCAAAAAACAATGCACAACAACTGGAAGCAGTAGTAAAGCAAATACCCAAAGCAGTGTAAGGGCTGTGGGAAATTCCCTTGGACTATATACTGACCTGAGAAAGTCACCTGTAAAACGTTCTTCCGTATCTGAAACTGTATATGCTGAGCTTGCGTTAACAGGTGACATGCTCAAATCGATATTGCAACGTTTGCTGAGTCTAGCTGCCCTATTTGAATTGTTCAAACATATTTATAGAATGCATCTAAGGAAGTTCAGCGTGCTGATAGACTCCACTTCAAACGATGTACACAACCGAGTACGCTGTTCACACAGTGTGGTTGTCTTTAATGTGCCAGACGATTTACCATTAAAAACTGTTCAGTACATGCTTCTCACTGCATGCGGCATATGTAATCTTGTTGGTCCAGGCGCATCAGATTACACGAACATTTAGCGCGTTACACGTGTCCCATATTTTTCCAGTTTCAAAATGAACAGTTTGCTAAACAATTTATTCAAAAACGCAATCTCATTGTGCTTTATACGACAATCAAACGTCTGAACATTTTGAAGGACAATACCGCGCTACAACGAGAGATAAGGAGGCGAAAGTTAGGTAAACCAGAATACCAGTCATCTGGCGCCCGGCATCCAGTTGATATTGCTCCGCTTGGTGGTCGCCACAAATTTGAGAATTATGCTCCGCTTGCTGCAAATAGGGGCGAAGCGGTGAATAATTAACGACTTTTGGGATTCCCAATGAATCACTTGTATATGAGGACCACTCTATTGCATTACATGCTGTGTCCGGTAGAACACCTAATTCTCGCACTTCGGGGTTAAGACCAACCTCAGATGCAAAATTGGTTACTGGAAAACCTTCACTAGGCTTCTGTTTCACGGCAAAGCATGATAACCCGACCAAGCCCAAAACCACTACAATCCACAAAACTAGTGATGTGCATGGTGCTTCCTCTTGGATAGTCAGTTCTGACAGTCATATAGGATTTCCTAATGCTGTTACCTGCATACGAAGTGACAACGATGTAGATCAGCGAATAACAACTGCATTACCTGCTAAATTCCAGTAGCATGCGGAACCGCTACCTCAAGCCTGGATCTGTCATGTCTCGGCTAAAGTTTGCTCTGGCCAATATCCAAGCTCCTCGAGAATATCGATTTGTCTGGTCAAATTGATCGATAGTAAAAAATACGGTTGACCCAGATTTATCGCAAGCGTTATTGGACGACTCTGTATCATCATTTTGTTTGAATAGCCGTACATCCATTGGTCATATAGTTGCAGAAGACGTTCCAGCATCTGTGCATATTACACGCGGTTTAATTGGGTATCACCATTTTCCAGTTTCATCAACGAATCTCACGGATTATGCTGATGGTGATGTATGCATTGGCACTAGTGTGGCTGCACCGCGTATAGTGATCCTTTGTACATCGAGCGTAAGTAAGCGGATTTTACCCACCAATGGAAATGAAGCTGCCCACTGACTCCTATCAACGCTTAACGTAATCAACAGTCTTTTAGTGACAAGATGCAGATGACACAACTTAACTCTCCAGCTTCCGTAACCTATTACAACAATCCTGGACTCTTTTCCTCGGACCATGTTCTAGAGGGCCATACTCAATCGCAACCCCCTCTGCTGTTGCCACATCCAGATCATTTTCCACTGCTGGCAACACGCTCTGTTTCAACAATCTCTAGCCTGGGTCCAGGCACACGGCTTGAAACCCCAATGTTTATAACACAGCCTAAACAATCTTTTTCATATCTCACAACCACCAGTATTTTTGATAAACATTCTCTTCACTCTAAGATCGATTACGCTCATTTGTTTCGGTGGATAATCCTGAGCCAGTGCCTAGTACAACATCGCATCCATCCCGGAAGCAAGGTACTAAAGTTCCGTCAGGCTCTCCCTCAAGGCCTACAATGTGTTCTGTTGACAGTAAAGCTCCAATTTGCAATAAGCAAATTGAGGATAACGAATGGAAAGTGCAAACACTGAAGAAACCAAGAGCAATATGTAGCGACCTGAGGCGCCGTAGCCTCATGGTCTTTCACGCACCTGAATCAGGTGATTCCAATCCTCAGGTGCGCTATGAACATGACGTTGAGTTTTTACAATCATTGATTGATGGACTATTCGATGTAAATGAGGGCAGGCTCAAAGTACAGCAGATCGCCCGTCTAGGAAAGAGAATAGAGGGCCAAAGTCGGTCCATGAGGGTGACATTTGTCGAAGAAGCAAGTCCCAAGTTACTATCGTCCCGCCTTAATAGGCTGAAGGGTCTAAAGATCCACCTGCGCGCTGACTTAGACCCGGCAGACAGAGAGAAACTCAAGTCTGCTATGATTGAACTAAAGCGACGCACGGAGGATGGAGAAACAAATCTCTGTATTGTAAATGTTCGGGTAGTTGCCCGGATTCCTCCACGAATCCGAATCAACAGGTTTCTAATGCTTCAGGCGCGCCCAGCGGTCCCTACCGTTGTCTGCGCGTAGCCTTTACTAACATGTGCAGTCTGATGAACAAACGCGATGTGCTGTACGAATTTGTAAGCTCTCAGCGACCAGACGTATTAGGCCTTGCTGAGACATGGTTAAACTCCGAGGTAACCGCACAAGTAGTGGAAATCAGCGGCTACTCATGCTTCCGCTGTGATAGACCATCAAATGATCGCAGTGGCGTTCTGCTTTACATAAAGTCTTCCTTGTGTGGGAGACTAGTGAGCGCCTACCAAAGCGCTGATGGTCTGTGTGAGCAGTTATGGTGTTCGATTCACCTCAGACGCTGCGAGTTGCTCGTGGGCGTGGTATATCGCAGTCCACTGAGCCGCTGTTTGGACTGGTTGCCACATGTCCGCAACCACATGAGTCGTCAGATGTTCCTACTCATGGGCGATTTTAACTTGCCGCGAATACAGTGGCCTGAAGCTGAACTTCTCCCAGGCCACTGTGAAGTCGAGAAGAAGTTCACGGAGTTGCAATTTGAAACCGGGGCCACACAGCACATCAACCAACCAACACGCATTACTGCGTGCGCGACTCCATCGTGCTTAGACCTGCTTTTAATTACTGTGAGCAGCGTGTGCATAACATTCAAGTCTTAGAGCCTCTAGGAGCGAGCGACCACTCGGTGATCATAGGCAGCTTGGAACTACCGCTGCCGTATTCTCCCCCACTAGAGTCAGCCTTCAACTATTGGAAGACCGACTTTAATGGGCTCATTCGAGCCGCGAGCCAAATAGACTGGTCTTTACCACAGGATTCATCTATTGAAACCTGTTGGACTGTCATTAAAGAGGGAGTGAAATCGTTGTGCGCCCGATTTGTATCCCTCAAATTTCGGGAAGTTGGGCCAGTCAAAACACATTGGTTCGACAAAGAGTACAACAAACTGGCCCGACGACGACGCACTATGGAACAAGTTCGTGTTATCTGGCTCTGATGAGGACTACAATGCCTACAAGGTACAGCGAAATCGCTGCAAAGACGCGAAAACAAGAAAACGCAGAAGCTTTAAGAGGAGCTTGCAGCCGCCGCAAAAACTGCTCCCAAGCGGATCTTCGCATACATGAAGCGGTGCCTGAGGCCTGTAGCCAATGTCCCAGTGTTAGAAGGTTCAGAAGGACAGCCCCTAACCTCGAGTGCAGATCGTGCGTCCGCATTGGCGACGCACTTCGCCTCTGTATTTGCAAGTGACCAGGTGTCTGTAACGAGTTCGACGAATACCGCTCCAGCCGAACTTAACAGCCTGGACTGCAATATTGAGGATGTACGCAAGCTTCTAGCAAATCATGACAGGAGGAAGCCTGCTGGGCCAGATGTTATACACCCACTGATTCTCAAGTCCCTATCGGCCATCATCGCGCCTTGTGTAACTGAACTCTTTAACAGGTCACTATCCGCTGGACTGTTACCAGACGACTGGAAATACTCAGTCGTAAAGCCCATACCGAAAGGTGGTAACCCAAGCAAAGTGGATAACTACCGGCCGATCTGCCTGACCGCTGTTTTGGCAAAGACGCTCGAGAAGATCGTGAAGAAGAGCCTTCTGCAGCTTCTCGAGTTGAAAAACCTGTTGACCTCCGCACAGCACGGTTTCATGAAAGGTCGCTCATGCATCACCAACCTACTGTTGACGAGGCACGAATGGTTACAAGCGCTGAACCAAGGCCGATCGGTCGACGTCATTTACATTGACTTCAGTAAGGCTTTTGACAAGGTTAACCATGCAGTGCTCCTTGACAGGCTGAGGATGTGCGGTGTTGGTGGTTCGCTGCACAAATGGATCAGAAATTTCCTTGTTGATCGAAAGTGGAGAGTCCAGGTGGACATCCATCTGACTGGTATCCATCGAGCAGTGGCGTGCTCCAAGGCACTGTACTGGGGCCGATATTGTTTCTGATCCATGTAAACGATGTGCCTCAGCTACTCCTATCACCTTGTGCGTTGTTCGCAGATGACTTAAAGGTGTGGAAAGTAATCCGCACACTCAATGATTGTGATTTACTTCAGCAGGACCTCGACCGCCTCTCGACATGGTCTGCAGAGGTTAACCTTCCGATCAACTCTGCCAAGTCGCAATTTATGAGGTTGGGTAAGTGTGAGCACAGCCGAACGTACACAGTGGCTGGTCAACCGTTGCATCCCGCGCCTTTCGTGCGCGACCTCAGTGTGCTCTCACGCTGCGACCTAAAGTCCATTGACAACACGAATAGGCTGTACCAAAACAGCCTTCGGATGCTTTGGGCGCTCAGGCGCAGCTTCAGCACTTGGTCCAAAGAGATTGCTACTCGCCTCTTCGTCTCGATAATACGACCAATGCTAGAGTACGACTCTCCCGCATATTGTCCCATCACCCTGAGCGAGGTAGAAAAGCTTGAACGGGTGCAGCACGTAGCCACCAGGCTGATTCCCAACTTACGAGGTATGCCATACGAAGACCGATGTAAGAAACTATGGCTGTACACCCTAGCTTATCGTCGGCTGAGGGTTGACCTTGTAGGACTAGTTAATACTAGTCCTAGACGATGCGCGGAATTAAGCGCGGATATCAGAAAGCAATTGGAGTCGGACACAGCGGACTGTATTCGATGGGTTACAACAAGAAGCGGACGGATGAAGCGAGGCGAGAGCGTACACGTGAGCGCGGGAACTT